CATGACCTGGCAGTGTTTTGAAACACTTGCACTTCGGGATCTGGACACTGTGTGGAAACGTCAGTAACACGTCAGTCATCCCTACTGTTCAGATCCCGATTGATTGGTTCAAGTGTGTCTGATCAGGGTTGAGACCTCCAGGAACAGAGCTGAGCAGCCCTGATCTACAGTTTGAGCAAGGAAGAGCTGTATATTAAGAGATGGGCAGCTTTATCAGACAAAATTCAGTTTATTCTGGCCATAAAAGCTGTCACTAACTGATGTTAGCACCAGCGTGAACAGAGATTACTCCACTATCTACCCTGATAACTCTCATTTAGCTGTGCAAACAAAGCCTAAAGGCTGATTTACGTGTACGCAATGACGTGTTGAGAGCCGCGCGAGCCCGGTGGAGCAATTGTTTACAAGTGTGGAGTCCCGTGAAGGAGCTCTGGATGGAAAGATTTGTTTTGTGTTTACCTCATAGTTAAAGTTGTTGCACGTCCGCTGGTTCCTGCCTCAAAATGAGCGAGTTTGAGCCACTTGTACATCCAGGAAGTGTTCAGGAAAAGCAAAACAGCAGCGAAGAAACTCGACACAGAGGAACATTTACTGCCAACTAGCGTTTCAGAAGTGCTACTGCAGACTAACAGAATTGGTCGGTCACGCCGAGCACTTGACGCAGATGTATAAGCCAGGCCTAAGTTAGACTGGTATCTGCTGACTTCCTAGTGATGGACCGGTGGCCACTGGGTGTATGAGTGTACAGCAAGTGAGCACAATGCCAAAGATACGGTAGATAGACTGTCAGATCTGTTAACAGCCCGGGGCTGTGAATGAGTGGAGATGTATATTAATGCAGCTAAATGAAGCCGCTTATCTTTGCTAGCGTTCCTACGGCGCTGCTGCCAAAACTGCAGGAGCCCAATAGAGCGTGGCGTTGAGAGCTGAGGTCATGATATAATGCTCCTTCTCTCCACAGGCCTACGCTATTCTCTCTACGCAAGGCCACTTAGAGCACATCACATCAGTCAGCGAGCACATATGCGCATCGCTAACTGAAGAGCAGGAAGTGCAGGAGATATTTCAGGATACCTGAACCACAGCGAGGGTTCAGCCGGGATGAGCATGATTCATGTTTGCTGAACTATGCTTTTGCTTTTGTTTGCCGTCCAAAACCTCACTATATACAGCTGCTCCCCGGCATGTGTTGTGCATTAGATGGCCATGTCCTCAGAAAATGAGCAACAACCTCAACATGCATTGATTTTCTGGTTAAAAACCATGGCCATCGCTGAACCGGCGCAAACTCTCTGCAGTGCTTGAAGAGCATCGTATGTCACCGGCATTACAGTGTTAACAGCAGGTCTGCTCTGCTCAAACCCATTAACACGCCACTAGACATACCAGCAGACATTCATTACTGCAGGAGAGTTCAGCCAGCTCTGGAAAACAGGATCTCCAGGATGGCGTCCAGAGAGGCACTCCCAGCACACACATGCCATAAAGCACCTCTGGAGGAGTTGCTAATCAGAATTCACGAAGGGGGGACGGGGTCATTCATCATGATCCCGGCTGACAGCGGAGGTGTGCCATCTGATCCGGCGCTGATTTCATACACCTTCAAGCAGAGCCAGCCCGGTGTCAATGAGGAGGAGCCCTAATGGATTGAACTCCTCTGAAGTTCGGAGCCAAAGCCTTTCGCCAAGTGGTGCCTTTTAAAATGTGCTCTCCTCATTGCAAGAGTTGCCGTGTGAAAAGAGGACTTCTTAATTCTTACGAGAGTAGAAGGAGGGCGAGACCTTGCTTTCCTTTCCTTTCATCTAGCCTTGGCCCTGGCACTCCTCTCATAGCCCCATAGCAGTCGTCATAAAACAGCCTAATTATTTTGGCTGCGGAAGAGACCCGGGGCCCGTCTGCTGTATGGGTTGGAAACATCAGCAGTAATAACCGACCAACAATGGCCAGTGTCACCCGATACCCGACTCAAAGTGATTGGCTGTCAGGCGCTTACACATATGACAGACTTCTGAGTGATGAATTAGCACAGGAGACTGCGGGTGGTGGGAGGTAGGGGGGTGACTTACATTTAATAATTGGTACTTCCATCGTATGATGTGTCTGCCAACTGCTTAGGTTTGTTTACACAATCAATCAACAGTTTAGATACACTAGACGTACTGCCAGCTCCAATAAAGCCAACAGACTCCCACGAGATCCTTACTCAACAGCAGTCTCACGTAGGGTGCTCTCGTGTGCCCTTTAATGATGCCTTTCTAGGAGGAATAATGTGAAACTCTTGGCTCCAAATTGGCTTTGCTTGGCTTTCTTTGTGTCAAGACAATCCCCGACTAGCAAGACGGGAAGAAGAGAGGAGTTTAGTCTTCACTTCGCCCAACACATGAACTGCAACGTGTCTGTGACACAGTCGTTTCTCAAGACGCTGAAATTCCAACCTGCTTCATAACTCACTCACACCAGCAGAAGAAAAAAACATTCCACCTGCACACGCGGTCCAAACAGACTTCCAAGCTATGAACTTTGAAACGCAGACAGGATTGTTGGTACCCGTCCAGCATAGAGGTCATCTGATCATAACACACATAGAAAGCAACGTATCCACTGCAGACAGCACTAATCAGCGGGGTGATGAGAGTCCACTTCGGGATCTTTTGGGACAGCTCATATCACAACAAAGTCCATCACCATTTGAGTTTTTCTCAAGCATCACCTAGAATCGACTTGATAGCTGCAAGGCAAGACGGTGAATCCTCATTTCAAAGCAATTGACTGTCAGCACACACATATCACAGATGCCCAACAGACAAGCCTCGATCGAACAGACCGGCAATCTGTCATAGAGCTTGAGACGTATGGAGGAAATAGCTGAGCTGTTTTATGGCCTCAAATTCATTTATGAAAATGAACATAGCAGACCGCTGAAATTAAGATGCGGACCTGATGGCGTTTATGGAAAACATATCACAAATGCAAATCCTCACAGGCAACAAGAGCAGTATTTCTTTACCATAAATTCATTTAGCGTCAGTGCTGCGAGAGCTCTCTTTAAGGAACAGCCTGGAAACACATACATCAGCAAGTGCCGAAGAAGGTATTCCTGTGAAGATGAATAAATCATTGTGAAATACTCTGGCTTTGTTTGGAAACTGGGAACAGACCCCACATCCTTTCCAATCACGTCTAAACATTGCACAGACGCACATCCAAGAACATTAGAACAGCTTCAATTTAATGAACAGTTGGAGATTTCTTTTAATTTCCCCCTTTTACACTGAGCCGTTCCACAGTTTGCCTTCACGCTCGTAAAGCCAGGCCACAGCAGCACATGCTGTCGGTGACCGGAGCCAAAGGCTCTGACCTAATGGGCATTTGTGCAGCTCACTGGACACCAGCGCTGTCAAGTCTACATAAGCTGACAGAAACAGAAGAGTCTTGCTGTATTTTTCAGAAATTCAGCATGCATGAGCTGTGTTTTAGATTAACAAACTCTCATCACGGCCCTCCCCATCAGCTCAGCACAGCGAGGGGAATGGCCTTCAAGAGAAACAACACTCACCACATTCATATTCCCAGTCGAGCATTCTGGCACGGGACACAGGAGAACTCATGCTCACATCTGTAGCTGACTTCATGATGTTTCATTGTAAAATCTTTGCATTTGCTAGTTTGCAGTAAAGTATGTGCAGAAATCTTCATTTTAAAGCCGCTGCAGTTTACCTTGATGCTACTGTACAAAGCATCTAAAACATCTACAGTCCTTCCAATGCCTCTGTGAAGTATACAACATTTAGCACGAAATATAAGTATGGGAATTGTGGTCAAATCTAAGGTGCAAATCTTGCAGTAACAATTTAGATGATTTAAAATTCACATCATTTACTTCTGGCCTATTTATAGCCTTTTATTAAGATATTAGCATTAATAAATTATGATTTTACATCACTAATCATGCCCATTACCTAACCCCAGCTATTACCTTATAGCGAGAATGAAACACTTTTACTTTAATGTACAGCTCACGCTATTAACAAGCCAATAACTATGACTATTTCCTTAATAAACTCCAAATTGAATGCCTCCTCAGTAATAGTTATTAAGGCAGTAGTTGGGTTTAGGTATTAGGTACTAGAATAACATTATAATATGGAGCCAGTATCCTAATAATAGGTATGTAAACATGAGAACTGGTATTTAAAGTAAAGTGTACTAAAGTGATTGACCCTCTAAGCTGACCGTGCACTGCTTATACTGAATACATTAATGCAGTACAGTGTCTTGATTTACTCACAGATATCATTATCTCACAAATCAAATCTAAAAAGCAAAGCAGAATATAGATCGGTCACACTTTACAATAAGGTTCATTAGTTAATGTTAATTAATGCATTTACTAAGATGAACAAACAATGAACAATGCATCTACTACAGTATTTGTTCATGTTAGTAAATGTTAGTTAATGAAAATACAGTAGTTCATTGTTAGTTCGTTAACTCATGGTGCATTAACTAATGTTAACGAGCACGGACTTAAATGTTAATAATGCATTAGTAAATGTTCAATTATGCATTAATAAATGCTGTACATGTGTTGTTCATGATTAGTTCATGTTAGTAAATGCATTAACTAATGAACCGTATTGTAAAGTGTGACCATATAGATCATGTGAATCTCACTAGTCCATTAATGTCGAGCAGGTTTCTTGGTCAACAGGTAGAATGCTGTCAAAGTATGTAGAACGTGTCATGGCTCTGCAATGTTGTCACCATGTGTAAATGCATGAAGCTCATTCCACTAAATGCATGAAGCTTGCATGTTATTAGCATGCTATCTCCTCCAGTAAAAATGACTGAAATCAATAGTAAGCATGGTCACCTGCAGCACACGTCAAGCTTTCTTCACTTCTGCACAATATACAGCATTGGAAAGCCCACAGGGGTCCCATATAAGCTGGTTATGTTTCTCAGGATCTCCTATATGAGCCATCAAAGTGCAGACCTACCTCCCTGCAGCGACGGACTCAGCTGGACGGAGAGGAAGAATCCGAGAAGGAGCAACGCAACACTCCTGTTAGCCATCTCGCCCCAGAATGCACTGGCCCTCCCCGAATGTGCTGGTTTTATTCTCCAAGAGAGCTAATTACCACTTCAAAAAATGTCTCCAAAAAAATGAAGAGGGGAGGAAAAAAGAAAACGACACAGGACACGACGTAATTAAGAAAGGGCAAAGCCTTTGGTTCGATGGATCATTGAACTTTTTTCTCTTCTATGTCTGGTGTTGCTGTTTTTATTCTGGTCACTCCTGCCAAAAAAGCTGAGTGCTGCCAGAGAGAGAGAGAGAGAGAGAGAGAGGGAGAAATAGACATGCAGAGAGGAAAGACAGGAGCGAAGGGAAGGACGAGCGAGAGACGGAGAGAGCGAGAGACCCGCTTTCCCACTCTCTCGTCCAAGAGGAATTTCACCGTCTGCCAGACATTTGCATGGACTTTCAGAGGACTTCACATTGTTTTCATGTGAGCAAAAGAATAAAACAAAATCAGTGCTTGGATAATGATGTTCTCCCCCCCTACAACACAACACATCGATCCTGGAGTATTTACAACAGCTCTCATTCCTGTAAGATCACGAGCCCTTTCCCGCCTCAGTCAGGGGAAACTGGAGAGATGTTTGTCTAAGAGACTCGGGGGGAATGAAGCCCATTGTTCTTTGAAGGGTACGTCGAATGCTTTGTAATGCATCTGTTACACCTGCCAGAAATAACTGCGGTGACACTCGCTTCATATGAAGGTGTGACTGCTGGCGTGTTGTTTAGTGACAGAAGACCCTCAGGACACATTTCAGAGTAAGTGCGTCGGGTAAAAACAGAAAGAAGAGCAACTCTACTATCAGAGAGCACTATGATGTTGTAAACATGAGCGTCGTGTGCTTGGGGATAAGAGTCAGTAGAGAAGTACGACCAAGCTCAAACCCTATCACGAAAATTAAAACCTCTCACAGAAAGTCTATTAATGTATCCTGTTATGTGTGTGTGTGCTGTTAGGGCAATGTGATGCGCTGATTATATTAACTTTAAAGGTAAATATCCAGTATAATGTACAGCATGGGAGAAGCAGTGGCGCAGTACACGGAGGCTGTCACCTCACATCAAGGTCGCTGGTTTGAGCTCAGTTGGCGTTTCTGTGTGGAGTTTGCATGTTCTCCCTGCTTTCGCGTGGGTTTCCTCCGGGTGATCCGGTTTCCCCCACAGTCCAAACACATGCGGTACAGGTGATTTGAGTAGGCTAAATTGTCCGTAGTGTGTGTGTGTGTGTGAATGTGTGTGTGGATGTTTCCCAGTGATGGGTTGTTGCTGGAAGGGCATCCGCTGTGAAAAAACTTGCTGGATAAGTTGGCGGTTCATTCCGCTGTGGCGACCCCAGATTAATAAAGGGACTAAGCTGACAAGAAAATGAATGAATGAATATACAGCATTTTAAGAAGACATCAGGTTTGAGCTGAAGCTTTTAAACATCCTTTTCTATCACCCGTTTGGTCAACTCAAATTCAAGACACTCAAATTCAGACACTGTCCGAGTCTTAGCTGGAAGACATTACATGTCCAGTATGCAAGGGGGAGTCTAGGTGTAGGTCTGGTGTTTCATCTTTATGAGCCCCATGCCAGGCACATGGACATATTCCAGTGACCTCCTGCTTAATGTATTACTTAGAAACCCACTAGCATCACAATCGGGTCTAAACGGGCAGCAGTCACCTAATGGTAAGAGTGTTGCACTTGTGATTGAAAGTTTGCAGGTTCCAGTCCCAGCATCAGCAGGGATGGTGGTCCCACCACCCTCAATATCATGGCTGAGGTGAGCCTCTTGAGAAAGTCACCGATCGCCCAACTGCTCCCCTGGTGCAGGCTTGTGTTTAAGGTGTGTGTTTTCACTGCTGTGTGTATGTGTGAGCACTTGAATAGGTTAAAATCAAAATACAAGAATACAAAAATGTACAAAAGAATACAGCATTTCAGAATACAAGAATACCTTTTCTTTCCTTTTAAAGCCGCCTTAACTCGGTCTCGGTTGAGCATTTAACTGGTCTGCTCCACCATGTGCAGCTATTGTTAAACACCCAAATACACCTGGACTTCAGCCTTCCTCATATTAGTGCATACTGAATATTTAATGTACACTCCTCTACCTAAGACTCTGTCTGTGTCCGAAATCGCCTACTACTCGAATAGGTACTACATTTGAGTTTGAGTTTACTACACGACTATTAGATAAGTACCTTCTATACCAGGGGTCACCAATCTTGCTCCTGGAGGTCCGGTGCCCAGCAGGGTTCAACTCCAACTTGCCTTACCACACCTGCCTCGGTGTTTCAAGTATACCTAGTAAGAGCTTGATTAGCTTGTTCAGGTGTGTTTGATTAGGGTTGGAGCTCAAATCTGCAGGACACCGGACCTCCAGGAACAAGTTTGGTGACCCCTGATCTATACAGTGTCAACTTGACAATGAATGCAATTCAGATGTTCTACATTCAGTTCTACATACATTACAAATGGTCTACCCAGATCAGTTGTGTTGCTTCATTCTCATTCATGAATACTCTTGCGTTGCATTAGGGGATGGCGTAGCATCACTTAGATTCGACTTCCTGAATCACGTCGGATAGTAGCTCATCCAGATGCCTTTCACTACAGTTTTTACAATACTATGAATCTGGACACCCTACTCACTCACATAATGTTGTTCAGCTAACCCCGAGGGGGCGTTGAGAACATTCTGAGAACATCACATTGTCCATTAAATCATGGTCCCCTGAATGATCTGAGAACAGTCTGAATGTTCTGTAAAGATCCCCCAAATAACATTACCAACACCTTTAAAGACCTCCACACTGTGACCTTCTCAGAATGTTCTGGAAACGTTCTGGACAACTGATGAGAACCTTATGAGAAAGATCTGGAAACATCAAGTTTCTAGCAGGGTGGACCAAGTTAAAGCGCTCACTCTGGTCCCCCGGGCTCTGCACTGGTTGGGCAAATTCCAAATTGAACCAAAACATCTGATTACAGTTGGTTTAAGATTGGCAACCTGCAGAACCCGGAAACAAAAGATAAAAATAAATGATAAATGTTTATATACAGCAGGGGAGTATGTGCTTTCAGACACAGCATGTGTCTTATTTGACAGCCACAGGTAAAAAGATATGTCCAGGACACAATGTTTCTGTGAGGCAGGGGATATGCCTCATTACAAGAAAATCCCTCACAGACTGAAGTCCAGGGTGTTTAGTTCTTGGTGAAGATGATTTCCTCGAGAAATCTTGGTCTCCACAGGTTTGAAGGGCTCCAGTGTGATTTTCCCAGTAATGATGTATGATGAATGATGAGGGAAAGAAGCAGGTCACTCTGAAACGCTCACAGCTAATGAAACAGACAGATAAAGACAAACATGCTAGGAACAGGCAAACCCCATGAACCCAACCATCATGTACAGGCTCTGCGAGTATTGAGGACTCAGCGATAGTGTTCTCTCACACCCAAAACATTACAAAGCCTTTTTCTGACCTGTCGTCAGCATCCTGCGCGACCACATGAACTCAGTGTTTAGCTTCAGGATAATAACTTCAGCGTTTTGTAAGTGTGTTTGGACACTGAGTGCATTTTTTGGAAGTCAAATGTCTTTTCCTGCTTTTTTTTGTCCGCTTTTCTATTTTAGCTCACGTCTGGTGCTGGTCCTTTCAGCATCTTGAGGACGCCAGAAGACTTGTGCTTGTTTATGAATCCAAGGAGTATGTGAATATTATCCAGACCTGCATTTGTCAAATAGTTAAGTAGTTCAAGCATTCAACACTTCATTGTAAAAGTCTGGACACATCTTGGAATTTCTGAGGTTATATTTAAGAAACAGTGCGGCCAGTTTCATTTACTCTGAGTATTATATGTGGTGGAAAACAAAATAAATAGGGGGAATTATTATTATCAAGAAGCAGATAGGGGCTAGTCCATAATTGTTAAGCCTTTACAGCTAATAGTGTACACTACATGTGCAGACAGGTGTAGTTAATTATGATTTGAACAAAAAAAAAACATTGTTGGCTACTTTTAGACTTTATTTTAGTCTCATCTTTTCTCATCAATGAAACTGCACACTGATAGTTATTATTCTGAATCATCTATCATTATTCTGAAGTAGTTGGCCACAGTAATCTGCGTTTCACTTCTCAAACTCCAGCATTCAGAGACGTCTAATAAAGTATTCGCAGACAAATCCAGAATAGGTAGCGGCATGCGAGTGAGTGAGCGGTTTAAAAGCACGCTACTATAACCATACATTCACTCGGATTTTCTCAGACACAATCAAAACAATGAGCTAACTGCGAGCCACGAAGGTAAACTTGGCCAGACGTCATCATTTAAGATGTTTTCCTTCACAATATTGTGTAAAGCAACAGAGCGCTCGCTGTGAGAGATGGCAAGTATGAGTGCAATATTCGTTAAACTATTTAAAGTTTACCGCTATCTTAAAGCTTTCAGCACGCGGAGCGGTTCAGCAACCTTTATTTAGGGAAGGCCACAATGTCAGGCGTCTCTCCATCTCTGACTCCGGACGCAGCTTTTACTCTACTTAACCATGTCTGACGCTGTAATTAACATGCGAGGAAGGCTTCTACACGTATAATCGATTTAATCATCAATTTAATGATCGTCTTTCACAGTCCTGCTGGGATTGGTCGCCGCTGGTGTGCACGAGATGTGCTTGGAATGGAAGCTGATTTAATGCTTACAGCTTCCTCTGCTTGTTTGTTTGTAGAATGTAGAAATTATTTAATATACAGTTGAAGTCAGAATTATTCGCCCCCCTTTGAATTTGTTTTTCTTTTTCCAATATTTCCCATATGATGTTGAACAGATTCTGGAGTTGTTCACAGTGTTTCCTCTAATATTTGTTCTTCTGGAGAAAGTCTTATTAGTTTCATTTCGGCTAGAATAAAAGCAGTTGTTAATAGTGTTAAAGTCATGTTAAGATCAATATTTTTTACCCCTTCAGCAATATTAGTGTTGGATTGTCTCCAGAACAAACCACTGTTATACAATGACTTGCCTAATTACCCTAACTTTACCCTAATTACCCTAGTGATGCCTTTACATGTTACTTTAAGCTGAACACTTGTGTCTAGATGAGCTGGATAAACTGAATGACCGGCTCCAGAACTGGGTCGTCACAGATATGAAGAAAGAGTGTGTTGAGTTATTCTGCCAGCCTGCAGCACTCCTCAGGCATTCGTCTCAATCTTCAGCCTCTGTCTGAGAATCACGTCTTTCTTCACCCACAATCCACCCGCTCACT